AGCTCGCCAAGCAATTCGAGCTCCAACTCACCGAGCTCCAATCCAAGGCTGATGAGCAATCTCGTCAACTCCAAGACTTCACTTCTCTCAAGGGACGTCTTCACTCCGAGAACGGAGACCTCGTCCGTCAACTCGAGGATGCCGAATCTCAAGTGAACCAACTCACCAGACTGAAGTCTCAACTCACCTCCCAACTCGAGGAGGCTCGCCGCACCGCCGATGAGGAGGCTCGTGAGCGTCAAACCGTCGCCGCCCAGGCCAAGAACTACCAACACGAAGCCGAGCAACTCCAGGAGTCGCTCGAGGAGGAGATCGAAGGAAAGAACGAGATCCTCAGACAACTCTCCAAGGCCAACGCCGACATCCAACAATGGAAGGCCCGTTTCGAGGGAGAAGGACTTCTCAAGGCAGACGAACTCGAGGATGCCAAGAGACGTCAAGCCCAGAAGATCAACGAGCTTCAGGAGGCTCTCGATGCTGCCAACTCCAAGATCGCCTCCCTTGAGAAGACCAAGTCCCGCCTTGTCGGAGACTTGGACGACGCTCAAGTCGATGTTGAGAGAGCCAACGGAGTCGCTTCGGCTCTTGAGAAGAAGCAGAAGGGCTTCGACAAGATCATCGACGAATGGAGAAAGAAGACCGACGACTTGGCCGCCGAGCTTGATGGAGCTCAACGCGACCTCCGCAACACCTCCACCGACCTCTTCAAGGCCAAGAACGCCCAAGAGGAGCTCGCCGAGGTTGTCGAGGGACTCCGTCGTGAGAACAAGAGCTTGAGCCAAGAGATCAAGGATCTCACCGATCAACTTGGAGAGGGAGGACGCTCCGTCCACGAGATGCAAAAGATCATCCGCCGTCTTGAGATCGAGAAGGAGGAACTTCAACACGCTTTGGACGAGGCCGAGGCTGCCCTCGAGGCCGAGGAAAGCAAGGTGCTCCGCGCCCAAGTCGAGGTCTCCCAGATCCGTTCCGAAATCGAGAAGCGCATCCAGGAGAAGGAGGAAGAGTTCGAGAACACCAGAAAGAACCACGCCCGTGCCCTCGAGTCGATGCAAGCTTCCCTCGAGACCGAAGCCAAAGGAAAGGCCGAACTTCTCCGCGTCAAGAAGAAGCTCGAGGCTGACATCAACGAGCTCGAGATTGCCCTGGACCACGCCAACAAGGCAAACGCCGACGCCCAGAAGAATTTGAAGAGATACCAGGAGCAAGTCCGCGAGTTGCAATTGCAAGTCGAGGAGGAGCAACGCAACGGAGCCGACACCCGTGAGCAATTCTTCAACGCCGAGAAGCGTGCCACTCTTCTGCAATCCGAGAAGGAGGAGCTCTTGGTTGCCAACGAGGCCGCCGAGAGAGCCCGCAAGCAAGCCGAGTACGAAGCCGCCGATGCCCGTGACCAAGCCAACGAAGCCAACGCTCAAGTGTCCAGCTTGACTTCTGCCAAGAGAAAGCTCGAGGGAGAGATCCAAGCCATCCATGTGAGTTTAGAATCCCTTCAGATCTAGATAGATACCTCTTAGCTAGATATAGCCAGATTCCTATATCCCGATCATAGAAAGACAGGAATTCTTAATTCTAGACTTCTAGATCTGCCTAGCTATCTTTAAACATCATATATTCCAGGCCGACCTCGACGAGACCCTCAACGAGTACAAGGCCGCCGAGGAGAGATCCAAGAAGGCCGTCGCCGACGCCACCAGACTCGCCGAGGAGCTCCGTCAAGAGCAAGAGCACTCTCAACACGTCGACCGTCTTCGCAAGGGACTTGAGCAACAGCTCAAGGAGATCCAAGTCCGTCTCGATGAGGCCGAAGCCGCCGCTCTCAAGGGAGGAAAGAAGGTAAGGATTCTAGAACCTTCACTAATCCTAAAACAACGTCTTCTAGGTCATCGCCAAGCTCGAGCAACGCGTTCGCGAGCTCGAATCCGAGTTGGACGGAGAACAACGCCGCTTCCAGGACGCCAACAAGAACTTGGGACGTGCCGATAGACGTGTGCGCGAGCTTCAATTCCAGGTTGATGAGGACAAGAAGAACTTCGAACGTCTCCAGGATCTCATTGACAAGCTCCAACAGAAGTTGAAGACCCAGAAGAAGCAAGTCGAGGAAGCTGTAAGTCTTGGGAGTAAAGACTCGGGCCCATATATCTCATTTACTGTGAGAGATATCAAAAAGTTGTCAACTAACAAAATGTTCATCACATTATCAGAAACATTTTATCAGTTAACCACTTTTTGATATCTTTTGAAGGAATTGAGATATATGAGCTCAAAGTAGGTGATGTTCTATCAAAGCAGTAGAGGTACCGTAAACCCTCTAATGGAGCGCCCCTAAGCCGTCAAAGTTGAGCTCATGTATCTCATTTCCTGTAAAAGATATCAAAAAGTGGTCAACTAATAAAATGTTTATCATCATATCAGCTACATTTTTGTAATTTATAAATTCCTAATATCTCTCACAGGAACTTTGATATATAAGCTTAAAGTTGGCTAAAACTCTTCGCGGTTTTGGCCCGCTCGTAGTCCGTTTGGGGCCCGTTCGCAATTATGAACAATAGGGGGACCTGGAAAATTGAAATTTTACAAAATTTGAGTTCAACATGACAAGATTCAATTTGACCCAGACCCTCACAATGATTCTCTCCTTCACCTAATCCGATTTTGACTTCGGATTAGGTAAAGGATGAGCTTAAATTGCCCAATAATCTCCAGATGGCCTCCTCCTCTTTCACCTAAAACCTATACGAAATTCAAATATTTCCAGGAGGAACTCGCCAACTTGAACCTCCAAAAGTACAAGCAACTCACCCATCAACTCGAGGACGCCGAGGAGCGTGCCGATCAAGCCGAGAACTCGCTCTCCAAGATGCGCTCAAAGTCTCGTGCCTCCGCCTCGGTTGCTCCAGGACTCCAGAGCTCCGCATCGGCCGCCGTCATCAGATCTCCATCGCGCGCCCGTGCTTCTGACTTCTAAATCCATATCCTCCAGGAAGTCCCCTTATCTACATGCTCTTTCTTCCCCTGTGCTCCCTAATTGTTATCTTTTGACCCCCACATCCAAAAAAAGCAACTTCTCTTATAAAATTCTTCTTGTTTTTAGACCCTTTTTTGCAATGGAATTGTGTAGAAACTACCTTTTTTGAGACTATAGAATTTGTAATAAATCGAAAAATCGCTATTTTTGTGCTCCCTCCCCTTCATTAATAATAATTCTATGATCCGAAAAAAAACTCTCTCTACGCAATGTTCTGTGTGTACATCATCTTCTTATGGTTCCATCTTTTTTCCATTTTTACTGATAAAGTCAAATGCTCTGAAAACAAAAAGAATTGAAGGAAAAAAGGACTATTTGTCCAGATATTTGAAAAAGTGGATTTTGAAAGTAAAAGCGTTTGAAGTGACCTAGAAATTTGATCTAGAAATTCGCACTCTAAAAGGATGACCCCACTAACTTTTAACTTTGAGCCAGTTGCATTTTTGAGCTCAAATATCTCCGTTGCTATAAAAGATATTTAGATGCTACAAACTACAAAAATGTTACTGATAATATGAAAAACATTTTGTTAGTTGACTAATTTTTTATATCTCCCCTAGAAAATGAGATATGGGAGCTTAAAATTGATAGCTTATGTGCGCTCTAGAGCGCTCTCTTTGGTATCGCGCTTTGAACTTAATTATCTCGGCTCCTATGAGAGATACAAAAAATTTGTCAACTGATAAAATGTTTATCATATTATCACCATTATTTTCATAGCTTGCACCTTTTTGCTATCTTTTACAGGAAATGAGATAATTAAGCTCAAAGTTGACTTCTTAACGGCGCTCTAGTAGCCCACCATTTACATTCACTTTGAGCTCTATTATCTTAGCTCCCATTCAAGATATCAAAAATTGGTCAACTAATAAAATGTTTGTCATAATATCAGCTACATTTTTATAGTCAAACGCTTTTTGTTAATTTCTACACAAATTGAGATAATTGAGCTCAAAGTTGAACGTTAGAGGGGTCATTCGATTAGTTTACGGTATACATATAGTAGCGCTCTAAATTTAAAGCAGTTACGATGTTCCAATTTTTACGTCTTCTGCCGCCCCAATGTTTGCTAACAAAGCTAAAATATCTAAACAATAGATATCAGATGTTTATTTGCATCCCATCTATCTCATATTCAGGTATCCGTAAACACTGTTCCCAAGCTAACCGTCAACTTTGAGCTTATTTATCTCAATTCCTATAATAGATATTAAACATCTGTAAACTGATAAAATGTTTGTCATAACAACAGCTACATTTTTAAAGTTTGCAACTTCTTGATATCTCTCACAGAAAATGAGATAATTGAGATCAAAGTTGACTGTTCGGGTGGAAGAGGGACTGCGTCTACCAACTTTGAGTCGAATTATCTCGGTTCCTGTAAAAGATATCAAAAAGTGGTCAACTGATAAAATGTTTATCACAATATCAGTTATATTTTTATTGCTTACAACTTTTTGATATCTCTCACAGAAATCGAGATAACTAGGCTCAAATACAACTATACTGTATTACGTGACATCTTCCACAGTCGTCGATCCGAACAGCTGCTACCCTCAAAAATTTTCCGGTCCACCACCTCTTTTATTTTCACATTTCATCTATCTGTTCTCCTATTACATAATTGACAGTCCTCCTCTTTTCCGTAGTATTTTTTAGTTCAGAAATACTAGAAACCAGGAAAAATCGTTAATAGTAAAATCGCGTTTGATTCGGTATATTTGACACAGTTAACACTATTTCCCAGCTCATCGTCTTCTTCAAATTGGCAGGATTGCTCTCTATGATTCATGTTAGTAGAAGTGCCGCGGAGCTTGTAGTATATGTGTTTAGTTTGATTCGTTTCATGACTAACCTCCCTTTTTGATAACAAAAATTGATGATTTCTTAAAATGGGAATTCTGTAAATGCTACAGTACACTGCAATATTAAAGCATTTATCTTTAAAAACCCGAAAAAAAAACCAAATCAATCAAGCAAGCTTAGTTTTTGACAAAATAATGGCGAGGAGAACCGATATGAGACACAAGATTCCAGAGGACAGAGTCAGATAAACACAACCTCCCAATTGCTGGAAATCATATCTTTTTTGTCTTAAAACACTATAATGTAGAGCTTACCGGCTGCTGATAGTATATACTGGCGATGTACATCTTCATACCGATTTGCATAGCAATAAAAGAGGAAATTTGAAGAATGGCAACGATTGCGGAGAGGATTCCAACAAGAAGATAACCAGTTTTACAGAGCTTGTATTTTTGGACCAGACAAGAGATTCTAGAAATTTTTGAGATTTTTTTACATAGCATTTAACCCGCCCCTTCAAAAAGAGAGAAGACAATTAAGGTCATTACTTAATCCTCCAGCTTTTCTCTTAATTATCTCAAAAACCAATAAAGTTAAAAAAAGTGACCAACTAGTAAAATGTACAAAACTTTATTTCACATATTTTATTAGTTGATCACTTTTTTCCATCTTTACTGGGAAGCGAGATAATCAGTGATTACTGTAGTCATTTTTCTAGGCGCTATTACTCGGCTCCAAACTCACTCTAGGACCTAAAATATATTAGAAAACATTTCAAATTTTTCCTCTTACCCATATCTATCAAAAACCCTTGTTAAAATTCCAAGCTTCTATCTCAAAAACAGTAGTTTACCTATTAATAATAGTCAAGGATCAAAAGTGGGCGGAGTCTAGATGACCACACAAAGTGTAGTGGCGCGCGGAACCCGGGAGATGTCGGCCGCTTCTCTCTAAAAGCGTTATAGCGGGAAATTGAGGGTTACAGAAGATTTAAAAGTGGTTTCGGGGGTTTTCAAGGGCGCTGATTTTAGAAATCGAATCGAAACTAGTATTTTATTATTCTAAGATCCATAACTCGGCTCAAAGTTAACCCTAGAATCTTAAATTTATTTCAAAAGATTCCAGTTTTTCCCTTCTACCGATATTTATCAAAAAACCCCTTTGAAGTTTGCCATTTCTAAGTCAAATGAAGCCATTTTTCCTCTTAAACTCATCTAAAATTGAAAGTGGGCGGAGTCTGCCGACCACACGAAGTATAGTGGCGCGCGGAACCCGGGAGATGTCGGCCGCTTCTCTCTAGAACCATTATAGAGGGAAATAGAGAGCTGTAGAGGGTTTAAAAGGGATTTTTGAGGTTTTCGAGGGCGCTGATTCCAGAAACCGTAGTCAAATTCTTCAAAAAATGACTTACAAGGCGAAAACGAGGAATCCAACGAGAAACACATACAAAACGAATGCAGTAAGCATCATAACGGAGGTGGCAATGTGAAACGGTGCTTCATACTGAAATTATCAAACAAAGACATAATTTGTTTTGAATAATTCAAGTACTTACTGCAAAGTGGAATGGAATAATCCCCACACTGTATGTCAGTGCACGTATGTTATAATTGGTCTCGACGATCCAGTATGGCAAGAAAACAGCCAAGACATTAAGGACAAAACCGATCAGAACCGAGAATAAGAGGCAGATGGTCTCTACAGTAACCCACTTCATGTTTTGTTACAAGGGAAAAATGATACTTCTAGGTTACCAACCCCCCGTTTTATACAATGGATTGCTAGCTTCTAATGATTCATTTTAGCATAAGTGCCACGTTAAAGGGGCGGAGCTTGTACTATAGAAGACGTATGTGTGTTTAATTTGTTTAGTTTTGATATTTTTCATGACTAATCTCCTTTTTCGGGGTGATAACACAGATTAGTCATTAACAAGAAAAGGTTTATTTGAAGTGCTTACAAAAGTGCTTCAAATCGATTAGATGATTCTGAAAATTTTACAGTATACTCGACAAATAAAGAGCTTCATTTTTGTAGTTGACAGTTTTTGGTTTTTCAAGCTCTATACCTCCTTAATCATCGATATACTCCGGCAAGTCTTCTTCAATTCGAACATTCACGGAGAGAAGACTACTATTATCAAAAAAGTACAATCTGGCGTCCAATGGATTATAATGAAGCATGGTGAGTCCTTGGTACGGGTTATACCACTCCACTTGTCCTGGGATAGTGTCATTTCTGGAAACTTCACTCTATTGAGAATTGCCAACAGAGCGCACTTACCTATACAAATCAAATGCATGAGTAATCTGTGTCTGTAGATTGCATGCACTTTTCAAGCCATACCAAACTCCACACATTATGAATGAATCCGCAATATCTGTGGTGTTAACCTCTACATCCCACTTTCCAACCATATAGAGGTCGGGTTCTAGTTTTGCCATTTTCATGGTTTCAGAATCGGCGCCAGCGTAAATCACCCAGAGACCATTCTCGTCAACAGCGAAATCCACGTAGTTATGAGGTCTGGAAATGGGTTTGGTGCGTCTCTAATTCAAAAAATACTACGATTTCTGAAATCTGCACCCTTGAAAACCTCAAAAATCATTTTTAAATCTTCTGAAACCCTCAATTTCCCGCTATAACGCTTTTAGAGAGAAGCGGCCGACATCACCCGGGTTCCGCGCGCCACTATACTTTGTGTGGTCGGCAGACTCCGCCCACTTTTAATCATAAACGGGTTAGAAAGGAAAACAGCTTTTTGAGCTAGAAAATGCAAATTTTCACGGGTTTTTTGATAGATATGGGTAGAAGGGAAAATTTGAAATCTTTCAAAGCTAGTTTCAGGTTCTAGGGAGAATTTTAAGCTGAGTTATGGGGCATAGAAAAATAGCTTCTAAAAATTACCTATCATACAACCAAACATGTCTATCAGTTGCATTACACTCCTCAAATGTATGATCTGGAAGTCGTCCGCAATCCACGTGCGACATCTCCGGATCCAGCTCCTTCTCCACCTGAACTCCAGTCTCCAACTCATATCGAACCAAACTTGTAGTTCCATGTTTATGATAATAGTAACTTCCGTTATAAACCACATTTCCAGTCCCTGAAGCCAAGTAATCCACGTAGTACTTGATCTTCTGAACCTTGTCCAGTAGTTGCCGTTCATCTTCGTACTCGTAGAGCACTGGACTAGCGAATCCGTCAGTCACCCAACGTCGTTTCGCGGTTTTCATGGAGTTTGGAAGAGCGTCACGCATCCAGGAGCCGACTCTACCGTATTGGGATTCGGCATGAAGGACTGGGATGCCGACGGCGGCCAGGATGCATTCCTTCCGATTGTATCCCAGGGTCGGTGGTCCCATATATGGCCTAGGTGTACTGATATTCATCTCGGCATTCCATTCATCCATGGTTATGTTCTTTTCTGAAAAAAAAAACACACAAGTTTAAAACATCTAGAACCATACGAACCTGTCGGTAACACGTGGATCGGTGGTTTTGTAGTCTTCTGCTTTGGAGTTGGGGGTGGTCGTACTGTAGAGTATCTTGGAAGTTTTCGAGTTCTTCCCGGTTTTGGCATTCCTGGAGCCCATCCTTCTGGAGGACCGAATCCAGGAGGTGTGGGTTCGAAGGGGACCAGTTTGGTGACTTCAACCTCTTTGACGACGACTACAGGCACTGGGACCATTTTTTCTTCGATCTGAAAAACCTCAGTCCTAGAAGCCCAGGCGCTTACATAGTTATGGGGGGAGGGTACACAAATTTGAGCACAACTATCTCAATTCCTAGAAGAGATATCAAAAATTTGTCAACTGATAAAATGTAGCTGATGTTATAATAAACATTTTATCAATTAACAATTTTTTGATATCTGTCATAGGAACTGAGATAATTAAGCTCAAAGTGAAGATATGGCTTCGACACCGTGGTAGTTGAAGGGGAGGAGGGGGGTACCCACATTTTTTGAGTTTGGCGCCATTTTTCGAATTTCTCAATGGATGGAAAAAAAAGCGTTTTAGCCTGAGGCTATAATTCAAAAAAAAAACAGAAATTTTGGAAAAAAAAGATTCCAGTCAAAAAAGTACTAAATTAGCGAAGTTTTCAAATTTTTGGCTGAAACTTTTTTTTTTCTTCAATTTGTTGCCTTTTTATTCACGTTATAAGCTCATAATTAGGTTGAATTGCCTCAATAACCTTCTACTGTGAAATCCACAAAATGGCGCCAAATTCAAAAATTTGCCCGCCCCCTCAACTACCCTTGCCCACCATATATACCTGCACTTCGAGCTCAATTATCTCAACTCCCGTGAAAGATATCAAAAAGTGGTCGACTGATAAAAGGTGTGTTATAATGTTAGCAACATTTCATCAGTTAAAGGAGGCGAGACAGCAAAAATTTCGGGGGACAGTTCGGGGGACGAAATCGTGCCGCGCTTATGTAGACCATCGGTCGTCAGGCGCCTTCGCGCCCCCGTAGCTCAGTCGGTAGCGGCGCTGTACCCCTGAGCTGACTGTCATGAGTTCAACCCCGCATGGGGGTTCTCTATGCAAAATATCAGGAAAACTTTTTTTTTTGATGTCTGGCCTCCTTTAACCACTTTTAGATACCTGTCACGGGAACCGAGATAATAGAGCTCAACAACGCAGCGCCCCCAAACCGTCAACTTCGAGCTTACATATCTCATTTCTTGTTTAGAGATATCAAAAAGTAGTTAACTAATAAAATGTTTATCATAATGTCAGCTACATTTTATCAGTTGACAATGTATTGATAGCTCTTATAGGAACCTAGATAATTGAGCCTGAAGTCTTCCTACCTTAATAACCGGTGGTCCTGGTATTGGCACCCTTTGCACATACATATCCGGAAATGGACAATTGCATTTCCCATCCCTTCCAGCTTCTCCAAGACTTCCATGCTCTCCAACCAACCCAATGGGTCCTACGATTCCCATTGGACCACGTCTCCCAGGTGGTCCAACTGGTCCTTGGTCTCCTGGAGATCCACGTGCTCCAGGGAATCCAGTGAGACGTTGACTCTTTTCAGAACAGAATTGGTGAACTTGAGAACACGAGCGATCCAGGACATTTCTCTGGAAAAGTCGATAATTCTGGAGAGTTCTGGAGAATTCTGAAAATTCTGGAATTAGAACCTCACTGGAATAATTGTATCCTGTCCTATGATAATTGTGTAGTCCTCCAGATCCACTGGCAAATGTTTGGAACTTCGTTTGATTCTAGTTTGATCGTTAGATTTGAATTCAGAAATCTCACAGTTCAAGGTCTGAAACTATGGGCAAGCTGTCCATCTCTTGCCTATTAAACTCTGAAACTTACATTCAACCATAGCAGGGCATGCAGGTACAGTACCCCTATCAAAATCACATTTCCAATTTCTCCAGCTATAATTAGCCTAAAAAGAGTTTTTTGGAATTCCGGAAGTTTCTAGAACGTACCTTCTACTTCTGACGTCGTCAGCAGTCATTTTGCATTGGGAAAAACTAATAAATGGGTTGTGGATGGCTTGGCGGGAAATTCCAAAATTTGAAATTTGATATTTTGGTTCTACATAAACAAATGATCGATTTGTTTATATGAGCAAACTTATGGTACTTGCAAATTATAGAATCTAGCTTGAAAGCTACAGTAACCCCTAAACTTGTAAATTTCTCAAAAGTTACATGCCTCCCTTTAACCTAATCTAATTCTGTCCAGGTGTCAAAAAAAGGATGCCACCATCGGTTCAGTTAGATCTCCTCCAGGACATCCACCATTCCTTGAACATTAGGTATTTGGAGACTTGACTCTAAAAATGTAATTGAAACAAAACTAAATTTTCAAAATCCCTCGAATTTCGAATTTTTGAATTTCCTTCAAACTGTCTTTTAGAGTTTTCAAAGGCAAATGATGAAGGTTCTCGGTTTTTAATTTTTGAGTTATTGAAATTTTGAATACTCAAAAAAAACCACAAAAAAAAAAGCCAACAAAGCCAGTTTTTAGCGGAAATCTCAAATCTCGAGAAAATCAGTTCCTATAAATTTCGAAAACGGGTGTATAATTCATTTCGTCCAAAACAACAACACCACACACTCATTTTGACACACCACCCGCGGCCTTCAAAAATGGATTTTCTCAAGTCTATGGTAAGGAAATGCGCTCTATTGATAATTCTCAGCCGACCAAATTCGTGATTTTCGAATTCTTCAAGTTGTCCCCTCTAAAACGAACTAAAAATCGCTGAAAACGGATCATTTTGAGTTGAGATACAGAGAAGGAGACGCAGACACTCTCGTTTCTCTGCGCTCTCGCCAAGCTTTAAAGGCGCATAACTCGCTTCAATATTTAGCTAGAAAGTTGATTTTTGGCTAGTTTTGTAGGAAATTTCAAGGGGGTCAGAATCATATAAAATTGATAATTTTTTTTTTGAAAATGAAGGGGAATTTGTAGTTTTTGGTCATGTCCTTTCCCAGTCATTAGTCTTGAGGACATATCACCACTCAGGTTGGATAGAGAAATTGTTTTGTGAGGCCTGAAAAATTAGAAAGTCAAAATTTGTATTTTTCAATTCTCCAAATTTTTCCCTTTAAAACAAGCCGGAAATCATTGAAAACGGACCATTTTGAGCTGAGATAAGGCAGAGACGCAGACACTCGTTTCTCTGCGCTCTCGCCAAACTTCAAAGGCGCATAACTCGCTTTAATAGTTAGCTAGAAAGTTGATTTTTGGCTAGTTTTGTAGGAAATTTTAAGGGGATCAGATTGATATAAAAATTTTATAAAAAGTATTAAAAGTCACCAATTTTCAACGACCGAAATGGAAACCCTAATTCGTTGAAATTTTTTCAGAAACTGCGAAAGAAAAGCAATTCGAAAGATGCGACAAAAAATAAGAAACAACAGGAAACGTCGACAAAAGTGAAGAAGAAGGGAGCCGAGAAAAACAAGAGTATGCGTTCGATGAAGACCAAAAAGAAGAGTGGTTTTAAACATCAGAATAGTAAAAGGGAGAAGAAAAGTAGGTTGAAGGGCGCCATATGCAAACTTTGAGCTTAATTATCTCGGTTCCTTTAAAAGATACAAAAAATTTGTCAACTGATAAAATGTTTACCATAAAATCAGCTACATTTTATCAGTTGAAAGTTTTTAGATATCTCTTACAAGTATCGAGATAATTGAGCTCAATGTTGGGATTCATACAGTAACCCGAAACGAGTTGCAATTTCGTTCTTTTGATTCCAGGCGGCGGATTGCCGGAAAACGCAAATTTGGCGATCAACATCTTTGATCAAGACAGTTTCACATTCAGAATCGACGCTTGCATCAATCCGGAACCCTCCAACCATACCACTTCAAACACAAGCTTATGAGAGTTTCGCAGCCGTAAGTTTGATCTACCTATATGTCCAACAGAGCGCACTTGCAGAGTATCCTATCATCTGGCGTGGAGGGGCTGATCAAGGAGTACATTGAGACGTTGGTCCCATTTGTTCCGGTTGGCTATTACGAACGCACGATTTTCGATCAGAACACCGAGCAGAAGAAGAATCGATATAAAGGTTTTTTTTAACTTTGAGCCCGTATATCTCATTTCCTGGGAATGATATCAAATAGAGATCAATTAGCAAAATGTTTATCAGATTATCAGCAACATTTTGTTAGTTAACAAATTTTAGATATCTTTTACGAGAACTGAGATAATTGAGCTAAAAGTTGACCATGCGAAAGGGGGGAGGGGGATTGGTGCGTTTACGGTAGTCCTATTTGAAACCAATTATCTCACTTCTTGAGACAGATATTAAAAAGTTGTCAACTAATAAAATGTGTAGAATTTTATTTTCTATATTTTTCTAATTGACACTTTTTTGATATTTTTCCTAGAAATCAAAATAATCAACCCCAACACAAGTGTGTTCCAGATGTTGTCTGTAACGATAAGACACGTGTGATTCTGAAAGACGGACTGCCGGGAGACTACATCCATGCCAACTACCTCAAAGGCTCCAAACCCCTCTACATTCTCACCCAAGGACCACTCAAAGACAGTCAACACGATATGTGGAGAATGGTTCTTCAGGAGGGCGTCGCGGCGATTTGTATGCTCTGTGAGCTCGTTGAGCATGGACGGCCCAAATGTGAGCCCTATTTTCCGGATGCTGAAGGACAGGCGCTTGTGTTTGGAGAGATTACTGTAACGTGTACAGACTACACACTTCCCGATGTGCATACTCAGTTGAGAGTGTTGACGGTGGTAGATAAGAAGACGGGCAAGAGTCACAAGTTGAATCATCACAAAATTGTTACATGGTTAGTTGATTAATTATCTCGATTCCTGTGAGAAATATCAAAAAGTTGTCAGATGATAAAATGTTCTTCATAATATTGGCAACATTTTATCAGTTGACCGTTTTTTGATATCTTGTAAAGGCGGGGGGACATGAAAAAATAATGCTCTCGAAATTCCGTTCAAAGATGCCTCTCGAGGAGTTGAACTTGTGAGGGCGATGATTGAGGGTGCGGCGCCGCTACCGACTGAGCCACGCGGGCAAAGAGAAAGCGCACACCCGTTTGCATACATAAAGGCGAGGACGACAGCTGTACGCAGAGTGACATTAAGCGTTGTACACCGTCACGGTAGAATGCATACTCTAGCTACAAAAAAACTACGAAAAATCTCCTGTCCCCCCACCTTTAAAGTAACTGAGACAAACAGACTTGAAAATGTTGGACGCCTTCCACAGGTAAAATGCGAACGGGTCCGTTACGGACGCTTCGCGTTCGCGCGCGGTTGAAATAGGAACCGCAAACGGACCGCACGCGAACCGTTTTCAGTAAATAGCAGTACATTATTCGGATTGATCCGTATCCTGTCCGTTTGCGAGCTCCGTATCCGATCCGATTGCGAATCATGACCAAACGGATCCGTTTGCGAACTCAATAAAACATTTGATTGCTATTTACTAAAAACGGTTCGCGTACGGTCCGTATGCGGTTCCTATTTCAACCGCGCGCGAACGCGGAGCGTCCGTAACGGATTGTTCGCGAATCACCTGTGTTCTTTGGGAAACGAAACGTATGACCAACTTTGAGCTAATTTATATAGCTTATTACAATAACTTTTCTTATAAAATGTTATATGATTCAGATTCCCTTAAAATTTCCTACAAAACTAGCTAAAAACCAATTTTCTAGCTAAATTTTGAATCGAGTTATGCGCCTTTAAAGTTTGGCGAGAGCGCAGAGAAACGAGAGTGTCTGCGTCTCTGCCCTATATCTCAGCTCAAAATGGTCCGTTTTTAGTGATTTTTAGTTGGTTTGAGAGAGAAAAACTTGGAGAATTAAATAATACAATTTTCAGGCCCGACAAAACTATCCCTCTCTCCAACCTGAGTGTCCTTCGAACCCATCGAATCCTCCGAAAAATGCAAGGACCCGTTGTTGTGCATTGCTCAGCCGGTGTCGGCAGAACTGGGACGTTTGCAGCGATTGAAATTGGCGTTCAATGCCTTCTCAATGGCAAAATGTTCCGGCCGGTGGACCTGGTGAAGGCCATGAGACGTAAGACATCCTCTGCTAGCCCCCTATAGAGAAAATTCCAGACTGTCGCCTGCACAGCGTTCAAATGGACACACAGTACTTGATGTTGGTTGAAGCGATTCTGGACACTGGCGTCGCATTCAAGTACATTGAGGATGCGAAACTACTGGAGGCTATTGAATTATATAAGAGACAGACGGCGGATTATGTGGAAGCTCATCCACCGCCGCTGGAGATGGTTAAGACCCCTATGAAGAAGGAGAAGGAACCTGAAGAAGCTCCACAAGTGCAACCTCAAAATCCAGCACCCACCAATACCATCTATCCACTGCTCTCGAATCCGATTGGTCCACCACCGCAAGCCAAGCCAGCTTCCCCATCACCGTCCCCGGCTCCGGCTGTCAAGTCTCCGGCTCCTCCGCCCACCCCAGCTCAGACACCGCCTCTAGAGAAGAATCGAGAGAAGAATCCTGCACAAACTGCAGCAGGATCAACTCCGGCAGGACCATTGCCTCTTGTTACCCCAGCGACTCCACTACCCGGTGGACCGATTCCCGGACCCCCTCCTGCAAAAGGTCAATCTGTGCATATGAGCAATCTTTGGGTATTTTCCTAGACCTTATCCAAATTGGTCTCTAAAATTGATGCTCCCATTTCAGCAGCAACAGTCGCCACCACCGCCAAACAACCAGCCAAACAACAGCACGTACCTATGATGAAGGCGTCGAAAGAAGTCGTGGGACGTTCGAAAGAGAAGATTCGAGAAAAGTCAAAATAGTGTGTGATCTTCGTTTTTTTCGTGTCTTGCTTGTGAAATAAATATTTTTGGTGATGCTTTTATTGTGTATAAATCAAAAATTAGTGGGTAACGGGATACTGTAGTACAGTAGAGCGCTCTTTCTGACTCATGGCTTGTTTATACTCATTTTGAAGCGCACAACGAGCTGAATTCGAAAATTAAAGTTTCAGGAATCATTTTCAGAACAATTCAGCCTTTTTTCTAGAACTTTCTGATCAACAGATTAAGGTCAGAAATGTTGTTTTTCTCTGATTTTTCAAAAAAATTGTATTTTGAATTTTATGTAGTACCTATTGGCAACAAGTAAACGGGGCCAACAAAGTGGGCGGAGCCTATTCTAACATTTAAAAAAAAATCTGAAAATTCGTTCTGAAAAATGGGTCCACCACCGATTGCTCATCTCGCCAGACGTCCTTCGAGTTCTCCAAGGGCTCTGGCCCCCGAAGTGTTTTTTGCTGAAGTTCGCTTTGAGGTATGGAATTTTATTGGAGTGTTATATCAGTCTGTTTCCATTGAAATTTCCTACAAAACTAGCCAAAAATCAATTTTCTAGTTAAATTTTGAAGCGAGTTATGCGTCTTTGAAGTTTGGCGAGAGCGCAGAGAAACGAGAGTGTCTGCGTCTCTTTCTCTGTATCTCAGCTCAAAATGATCCGTTTTTAATGATTTTTAGTTCGTTCTAAAGAGGAAAATTTTGGAGAATTTGAAAAATCAAGATTTTTTTGACTTTTTAGGCCTGAAAAAACAATTTCTCTATCCAACCTGAGTGGTGATATGTCCTCAAGACTAATAAATGGGAAAGGACATGACCAAAAACTACAATTTCTTATTAATTTTTCATTATTTTTTAATTAAATGTTATATCATTCTGTTTCCATTGAAATTTCCTACAAAACTAACTAAAAATCAAGTATCAAGTATCTAGCTAAATTTTGAAGCGAGTTATGCGCCTTTAAAGTTTGGCGAGAGCGCAGAGAAACGAGAGTGTCTGCGTCTCTGCCCTGTATCTCAGTTCAAAATGGTCCGTTTTCAGCGATTTTTAGTTTGTTTCAAAGGAAAAAACTTGGAAAACATTTTTCTAGTTGACCACTTTTTGATATCTTTTTCAGGAAGCGAGATAACTAGCCTCTTAGATTTTTTTTTTAGGAACTAGATTTTGACTTCTAGGTCATCCAGTTGAAAAGCACTTTTCTAGTCCAAATCTAAAAATCCTGATTTTCAGTTTTACAAGGCCAATTCGGAGCAACAAGCCACCTCCAAATCCCCGAAGTTCGACTTCAGTTGGATGATTTTGATGTTTCCTTTGATCCTGGCCATCGCCTACTTCATCAAGTTTGTAGTTTGTGACGTCATCTACACAGAGCATCAGGATTCAACCAACGCTTTCAATTCAACCATGGAGATCCTGAATTCCGCGAATGCGTCGGTTATTCTCAATTGAATTCTGATATCTGTTAATAAACAAATTCTGTGTTAAAAAGTTGTTATATTTGTGCCATAGAGCGTATTTACAGATATAATTATTTTAAAAATTCCAAAAAATTCAAAATTCTCATTGGAGCGCACTTCCCTTCTCAAAAGCATTGAACTTTCGATTGATAACGTTCCGGAAGATATAGCCCTATGGATATTGGGATACTGTAGCTTTAAACTGCTGACAGAGAAGTAGCAATAGAGCGCACGTGCTGACTCAGTCAGAAAATTCAAAATCCAAAGAATTTGGTGAATTTTATTAACCTGAGTTTTTAAAATTTTCGATTTCCAGAACTTTACCTTAAAATATCCCTAACCTCTCACTCATATCAAACTAGATTCCTAAAAGAATCAAAAGTCAGAATCTCAATTTTTAAATTTTTTCGAAAAATATCAAAATTTGTAGTTGGAAGTTGTACCATGAGCTCTTGCGTCAATGACATTTTCTAGAGTCTTATGGTAGAAATGGGCGGAGTCAAGGGCTCCTGAGTCAGAAGGCGTGAGAGGAATTTTCATCCTTCTCACGTACCCACTCTTCTGAATCCCTCCGGAATTTCCAAGATTCCACTATCCCAATGAGTACAGTATTCACCGATATTGAGGTAAGTCTAGAGACTAAAACACCTAATTTTTAACATTTTTAAATCAAATTTTATATCATTTTAACCCCCTTGAAATTTCCTACAAAACTAGCCAAAAATCAATGTTCTAGCTAAATTTCGGTGCGAGTTATGCGCCTTTAAAGTTTGGCGAGAGCGCAGAGAAACGAGAGTGTCTGCGTCTCTCTGTATCTCAGCTCAAAATGGTCCGTTTTTAGTGATTTCTAATTTGTTTTGAAGGGGAAAACTTGAATAATTTGAAAAAATAGGTTTTGGACAGTTTTCCTTAGAAATAACCCTAAGGAAACCAAAATTGCACTGTACCCCTCTGTTTTTGGTTAAGTTGCTTAGAACCCTATTATTTCGAGTTCTAGGGAAGATATCAAAAAAGTAAAAATTGGAGAAATATAGAAAATTGAATTTCACACATTTCACTAGTTAGCCACTTTTTGATAACTTTCACAGGAAGTGAGATAAAGACGCTAGAAACAAAGGAGGAGTTAAGCGCCGTTTTTGGAAACCTCAACAGTCAACTTTGAGCTAATTTATCTAGATTACTGTAGGAGGTATCAAAAACATGTCAATCAACAAAATGTTGTAGATAATTTGATAAACATTTTGCTAGTTGACCACTTTTTGACACCTCTTACAGGAAATGAGATATATGGGCTCGAAGTTGGAGCATACTGTAACAATGTATTAGAGTGTGTGCAAGACCAGTACATGATCAAGGACCGAAATTCCCCCTTCATTTTCAACAGCTTTTCTATGAAATTTTATATCATTCTAATCCGCTTTAAATTTCCTACAAAACTAACTAAAAATCCACTTTCTAGCTAAATTTTGAAGCGAGTTATGCACCTTTAAAGTTTTGCGAGAGTGCAGAGAAACGAGAGTGTCTGCGTCTCTCACCTCTCAGCTCAAAATGGTCCGTTTTTAGTGATTTTTAGTTTGTTCGAAAGGGGGGAATTTGGAGAATTTGAAAATAATGTTTCTGGCCTTTTTCAGATGTCTCCCATCCGCCGTGCTCCTCAAACTCGCCGCCAGAAATTCGTCGCTTGGCTCATTGCTCGGCTTGTCATCGCCGTTATGTCAATCCACGTCACATTTGTGATCTACGTGTACACCTGGCATCAGGAGGACGATGGGAACCTCACAACAACTACGGAGGCGTCGGTAGACGCCTGGACAGCTGGAAGCTCCGGACGCGCCAACTTCCTTCATCCCCCGCCGATTTGATTGGAATTTTTCAAAAAAAAAAAAATCCAAATCGTCCCCTCAATTTTTAATTAAAAAATGTTCAATAAAATGGAACTTTATATCACAATGTATACGAAAAAGTAGATCTATAATTATCCTGTTCCTTTCTTCAATCATCTCTCTAAACTACTTCCGCATCCTTGACACCGTACTTCTTCAACTTCTCGTACGCCTTCTTATGAATCACAGCGTCGTCTGAAGTCACGACGGGCATTCTGAAGGATTGCTTGAAGGCGTCGATAGCTTCTTGCTTCTGTCCAACTGTTCGTAGACCTCGCCAATGTAGTAGGTGTTGGTACTGTAGAAGCCAGGCTGAAAGAGCTTATTACAGTACCACATTTATCACTTTCACCCCTTAAAATTTGAAATTTCGATTTGAAACTATCAAAAACGAGCTTCCCATCATTTTTAACCCTCAGGCACCAATTTTCAGCTAGCTAGCTTCATTTGTCGTAATAATCGGTGTCTGATCTGCAAGCACCGCGTAGATCAAAGTGTTCGCAGACCAGACACCATAGTTTACGACAAATGAAGCTAACGAGCTGAAAATTGACTACCAGAGGTAAAAAATGACGGGAAGCTCGTATTTGATAGTTTCCAATCGAAATTTCAACTTTGTAAACCAGAAAATCACTTTTGGAGCAAAATTTTTAAAGTGATCAGAATTTTGATAGCTCCAGAAGCAATTTCTGGGTAACAGAGTTGAAATTTCACTTTGAAATTACGAAAAACGAGCTTCTCATTGTGTTTTACCCCCAGAAACCAATTTTCAGCTCGTTAGCTTCATTTGTCGTAATATTCGGTGTCTGGTCCGCAAACACCGCGTAGATCAAAGTGTTCGCAGACCAGACACCGAATCTTACGACAATTGAAGCTAGCGAGCTGAAAATTGGTGACTGGGGGTTAAAAATGACAGGAAGCTCGTATTTGATAGTTTCAAATCAAAATTCCAAGTTTCAAAGGCTGAAAATGATGTTAGCCGCGCCTCCGGCGCAATTTAACTTAGTTCCTAACCGAGATCTCTTCAGCTTTCAAAAAGTAGTGAAGAGCTTCCTGATAGGTGGACGCAGGAGGTGTTGCGAAGATGGCCTTGGCTACCATGCGAGTAGCATATCCCATATTGGCAAAAGAGTAGTGCCAGAGGCCTAGAATGTGCCACGTGGTTGGGTCATGCTCAAAGATTGAAAGAGCCTTCTCCAGATGCTCTTTTACTTGAACGACTTCTCGATTCGGGATTTGTTGCCCTCGATCTCGCCAACGTAGTCCAGGAGGATGGCGTACCTGGGAAAATGGGGGTTGAGGTTCGAAATTTTCAAAAATCCCAAAAATTTGAAATTTTCAAAAATCCCAAAAGTTCGAATTTTTTGAAAATTCAAAAAATCCAAAGAATTCGAAAAATCGAATTTTCGAAAATTCAAAAAATTTGCAATTTTTAAAAATCCCAATAATTGGAAATTTTTGAAAATTCAAAAAATCCAAAAAATTCGAAAAATCGAATTTTCGAAAATTCAAAAAATTTGAAATTTTCAAAAATCCCAAAAGTTCGATTTTTTTGAAAATTCAAAAAATCCAAAGAATTCAAAAAATCGAATTTTCGAAAATTCAAAAAATTTGAAATTTTCAAAAATCCCAATAATTGGAAATTTTTGAAAATTCAAAAAATCCAAAAAATTCGAAAATTCCAAAAATTGGAAATTTTCAAAAATTTTGAAAAATCGAATTTTCGAAAATTCAAAAAATTTGAAATTTTCAAAAATCCCAAAAGTTCGATTTTTTTGAAAATTCAAAAAATCCAAAAAATTCGAAAAATCGAATTTTCGAAAATTCAAAAAATTTGAAATTTTCAAAAATCCCAATAATTGGAAATTTTTGAAAATTCAAAAAATCCAAAAAATTCGAAAATTCCAAAAATTGGAAATTTTCAAAAATTTTGAAAAATCGAATTTTCGAAAATTCAAAAAATTCGAAATTTTGAAAAATCTTTTTTCTTAATTAAAAAAAATCTACTTCATTTCTTTGCACATTTTTATACGAAAATTACCATTTATGTGCTCCAAACGAGCCCTCCCTGTCCTCATTCTCCAACGCCTTCTTCACAATCTCATACGCCTCCAAAATCAATTTTTGTCTCTCTTTTTGATCCTTACACAGTTTTCCCTTCTCACAAACCACTCGAGCCAGGCGCCAGAGCAGCTCAGAGCACTGGGAATTTTCGAATCTAGGAAAAAAAATTTTTTTCTTTCAAAATTCAAATTTCTCACTTCTTCAGAATATTATAGCAATTATCGATGAGATAATTGTCGTACAGCTCATCGGCATTCGACACAATCAAGTCGAAATTTTTGGGTTTTCCAGTAGCCAGATTTTCAGAAATTCCAGCATTTTCCACATTTTCAGCCGATTTCTTCTCTTCTGACTTCCCAAAAAACGCGATTCCCAGGGAGGTTGTTCCGGTAATTGCCACGAAATTCGGTAACTTTTTTTGCTGGAATCGCGAAGAAAATCGCAGAGAAGTGGTCAGCGCTCGCTTGAACATGGCTGGAAATTTTTTTTTTTAATTGGAAATTATTGGAAAATTCTCGAAAAAGTAAATATTTTTGTCTACATTGTGGTCTCTAGTGTTATCATATTTATGATAAACAAAGCGGTGGAAGAGAAATATCGAAAAACTCGGCCATCCCATTTTTTCGCTGATAAATCATGATTTTGAAGGTTTTTCGGGTCATTTTTCACTGATTTTCAATAGAAAACGATAGAATTCACTCTATTCAAAAAATTCAAGCCGGAAAAAGCCTAAAAAGCGGAAAAAAACAGGTGGAAGAGGAAATGAGAAAAACTCGGCCACCAAATTTTTTCGTTGGTTTTTCATCATTTTTTGAGTTTTTTCGTCAATTGTACAGTTTTTTAATTACAAAACAATAGAATTCCACGACTTTTGCAAAATTCAAGTCAAAAAATACCTATAAAGCCGAAAAAGGCGAAAAAATCGAGGAGAAAAAATCAAAAAAATAGAGATGGAAGAGAAAAATCGAAAAACTCGGCCAGCAGATTTTTTCGTTGATTTTTGGTCATTTTTGGGTTTTTTCGTCAATTCTCTAGATTTTTTTAAACAGAAAACAGTAGATTCTCATTATAATTATAGAAAAATCAAGTAAAAAATAGCTAATAAGTCAAAAAATCGAGACAAAAACCAAAAAAAAGAGATGGAAGAGAAAATGAGAAAAACTCGGCCACCAAATTTTTTCACTGGTTTTTCATGATTTTTTGATTAATTTTCAACAATTTCACACTGATTTTCGATGAATTGAAACAATTCAAGCCAAAAAAAAAAGGCAAGAAAATCAAACAATCAATGCAGACATCGTTATTTTTGAGCAATTTGACCGGAAAACAGTATGAAAGGCATTTTTTAATAGATTTTAAGAGTTTCAAGACAATAAAAAAGCCAAAAAAATCGATAAATGTATGCTTTATACTGGGAAAAATAGTTATATGACACATAACATGATGGAATGTTGTAGAAAAAACCAAAAATATAGTGATAAAAATGAATTTTTCCTAGAAAAAGAGTATTATTCATGCGTCCTCCTGCTCCTTCTTTACAATGGATAGTCTTCGTTCAATGAACTCTCTGAAGTTGGCATTGAATTGTCTGAAACTCGGATAGCTCTTCAGTTGAGCACGAATCCATTTGGAGACACGCGCCGACGACGCGCCAGTCGTAAGCTGGGAGGTTTGACGTTCCAAACGATCATCGATCATCAGCATGGCGCCCCAATCGTTTTTGTGGCGGAGACATCTGGAAAACGTTTTTTTTTTTTGAGCTTTTGAAAAATTCGAAATTTTCAAAAATCCCGAAAATTCGAAAAATTCAAAAAATTAGAAATTCTGAAAATCCCAAAAAATACGAAAATTCCAAAAATTCAAAATTTTCAAATTTTCAAAAAATCTAAAATTCCAAAAACTCAAAATTTCGAAAAGTCTAATTTTCGGAAATTCTAAAAATTCGAAATTTTCAAAAATCCTAAAAATTCGAAATCCCAAAAATTTTCAAAAATTCGAAAAATTAGAATTTCTAAAAATCTCAAAAAATTCGAAAATTCCAAAAATTCAAAATTTTCAAAAAATCTAAAATTTCAAAAACTCAAAATTTCAAAACATCTAATTTTCGAAAATTCAAAAAATTCGAAATTTTCAGAATCTTGGGATTTTGGAAATTTTTTAATATTCCAAAATTTCAAAAATCCAAAAAATTCGAAATTTTCAGAATCTTGGGATTTTGGAAATTTTTTAATATTCCAAAATTTCAAAAATCCAAAAAATTCGAAATTTTCAGAATCTTGGGATTTTGGAAATTTTTTAATATTCCAAAATTTCAAAAATCCAAAAAATTCGAAATTTTCAAAATGCGACTTTTTCGAGAATTTTCAGACTGTATCTTGTTTCTTATGCCATTTCGGGTCGTCATATCAATTTTTATAGAAATTGGAGCATTTTGAATTTTTTTCAAATTTTGACTTTTTTCAGATTTTTCAGAAAAAAAAACCCCCGTTGTTTGGGTCCAAATTTTTATTTTCCAGCGTTTTTATGGACAATTTTTATTGATTTTTGCAATCTTCAAACTCTTTAAAACCAACCTTCCCAATGCCTGATTCAACGCCCGGTACGCCTGTGTCGTATACCACTCATCTCCATTCAGAATTCCCATTTCCTTGGAATTCTGATCATTGTACATCTTCTTAGCATTCACTTGATCATCCATTGCATTGGGATAAGGGATTCCAACACTGATGACCACTCTAGCTCTATCATCTGCGAAATCAATGCCTTCTGACACTTTTCCACGGAACACTGCGAACATCAAAGCTCCATTGATGGTGGCTCCGAATCTCGTTGGATTGAAAATCGCCTCATCGAATTCATCCATCACTGCCGATAGCTCTGAGGATCGTCGGGGTTCGAAAAGAATCACTTTTTTGGATTTGATATGGAGCATACTTTGATTCTTGTACATGCACATTTTCAGTTGTTCCAGCACACGGTAGCTGGGCAGAAAACACAGGATTCCGGCTGGCACGTTCGTGCACACGTACCTGGAAAAATCAAAAACGACTTGAAAATCAAACTTTCCAAAAGTATAGAGTTTTTGAAACTTTGAATTTTTGTGAATTTCAAATTTTAAAGATAATTTTGAATTTTGGAAATTCTCAAGTTTTGAGTTCTTAGGATTTTGGAATGCTTCGGATTTTTTGAAAATAGCGAATTTTGGAATTCCGAAATTTCTTAAAAACTGAAAATTAGAAAATTTCAAAAGTTTCAGAAAACCCCTCAAATCCTTTAAAAAAAACTCTAAAAACTAAAATTTTCAAATTTTCCAATTTACCAAAAAATCGAAAACTTCCAAAATTACAAAAATTTTTCGAAAATTTCGTTGGATTTTTCGAAATTTAAGATTTTTGAAAACTCACTTCACAATAGAGGCCACCTCTTCATAGAACGGTGATTCTGGATCGGAAGTGTTCCTATAGGTGCAAGTTATCCTATTTCCATGTGGTCCAATCGGAAGAACCGCCGCGAAGATGTTGTCAGGAGAAATGACTTGGTCTCCTTCGACCTGCTGCTTGAATTCCATTCCTAGTTCGGTTTTCAGAGTGTCCATAGGGCACAGGGTTCCTGATGCCAGGATGATTGAACGCGTTTCGCTGGAATTTAACAGAACAAGGACAGAATCGAACTGTTCTAATTCGAACTGTGTCGGAGTCGAACTGTCCCAAAT